CAGAATTCAAAATGTTAAATACTTTTAAATATTAAAATTGACTTTATAAAAAATTAGGAAAAAAAATTAATCCAAAAGAGTTCAAAAATGTATTATAATATTTTCAGTTTTAGTTTAATTATATTTTTCATTCTCAAAGTAGAAAAATATATTGTAATTATTTTAATTTAATAAAATATAATTTAAATTTTTAATATTAAAATTAAAAGATTAATAATAATAAATTTAATTCTTTAAATTTAGTATTTAGAAACTAAAATTATAGTTTCTCTGTTTTAAAAAATTAAAATAAATATTTAAAAAAAAAATCAAAACTAGTATTATCTTAAATTTATTAAAAGTATAATTAAATCTCTATTTTCTTCAATTTTTCTTTTTTTAACTTCTCAATTTTACATTTTTGTCAATTCCATCATTATATTATCATCCTCATCTCCTCCCATGTTCTACTTTATGTTTACAATAATTAATATTCTTAAATAATTTATATTTTTATTTATAATTTTTTAATATATATTTGAGAAATTAATCAATTATAATCTATTATTTGAAAAACTAATAAATTCTAATCAATTATTTAGAAAACTAATCGATTATAATTAATTATTTGAAAAAATTATCGAATATGATCGATTATTTGAAAATTTAATCGATCATAATGAAATATGTGGTTGTATTTGATAGCGGTTCTACTTGAACCGCTCTTAAAAGTGAACATCTAATAGCGGTTAAACCTTAACCGCTATCTAAAATATATTTTAGATAGCGGTTAACGTGGAACCGCTATTATATATTTTCAAATATTATCGATCATTTGAAATTTTAATCGATCATCATGAAAACTTACATTAACTATTTTTTTGAATATTATGTTTTTAAATTTGCTAATAGAGAAAACGTTTCAGAATTCAAAATGTTAAATACTTTTAAATATTAAAATTGACTTTATAAAAAATTAGGAAAAAAAATTAATCAAAAAGAGTTCAAAAATGTATTATAATATTTTCAGTTTTAGTTTAATTATATTTTTCATTCTCAAAGTAGAAAAATATATTGTAATTATTTTAATTTAATAAAATATAATTTATATTTTTAATACTAAAATTAAAAGATTAAAGAATAATAAATTTAATTCTTTAAATTTAGTATTTAGAAACTAAAATTATAGTTTCTCTGTTTTAAAAAATTAAAATAAATATTTAAAAATAAAAATCAAAACTAGTATTATCTTAAATTTATTAAAAGTATAACTAAATCTCTATTTTCTTATGTAATTTTAGAAATTTTTTAATGAAAATCCAATATATAAAAATGTTAAAATTTTTAAAAGGCACAACCTTAACTTATATTAACTGATTTTTTTTAAACTGACAAGAAAATCTTGGTTTTGAAAAAAAAAGTTAATAATTTTGAAGTTATTTAAGTGACCAAATTTGATCTATGAATATTGAGTAAAATTGGAGGTAGGTTAAATATAAATTTAATTATATTTTTAATTTATTTAAATATGATTTATTTTTAGTATTTATAAAATAGATTAGTTTTAAATGTTTAACTTTTCTAGCAGTTTATTTTTAATCTTCGTTATTAATTATGTTAAAAATGAAAAAAATAATAATTAGTATACTTAAACTAATGTATATTGATTATCTAATGTATATTGATATAATTTTTTTGTATATCAATTATATGAAAATAACCATGGTTAAGTAATTAATAATAATAAAGCAATAAATTTAAAGATTAGATTAAGTTTTATAAAATAAAATTGTAATAATTTGATTAAAATTTTATTTTTCTTAATTAATTAAGTTAATGAGGAATTAAAATGTGATCATTTGATGTGTTTAATTTTTTTAATATAAATTTTTAAAATATAATTTAATTTCAATTGAAATTTTCAATTGAAAAATAAATTAAAGAATATTTATTATTAAACTTTTCTTAAACAATGTATTGAATAGTTAATATTACTCTAGTCTTAATTTATTTCAATTTAAATTTTTAATAAATTTGATTTATTTTTAATAATATTTTTATTTTAGTAATTTAAAATTAAAGTTAATCTTCATTTTGTTAATATTGAGACCAAAGTTTATTTTTAAAGTATCTTTTAAAAATTAAATTATTTTTAGAAAATAAATTACTTTTAAAAAATAAATTGTCAAAAATATACTAAAACAATTAAAGTATATTTATAAAAAAATAAATTTAAATATAATAAAAAAATAATGTTCGTTAACAATCGATTTAAATTCGGTTGCTATTTTCTCATTAGCGACCGATTATAATTCGGTCACTATTTCAATTTGTAATTCGATCGCTAAATCAGTCGCTAAATGATTTTTTTATTTTAGTGTGGAATAGCCATTGATTTAGCGATCGAAAATTTGCGACGCAAACTATTGGTCGCTATTTCGATCGCTAACTAAAAAATATGAAGCCAAATTATATTTCGATGGCTAAATCGGTCGCTAAATTGTGACCGAATTAATTCGATCGTTAATTCGGTTGCTAATAGCGACCAAATTAAATCGATCGCTAAATCGGTTGCTAATTACGATCGAATTAAATCGGTCGCTAAATCGATCGCTAATTGCCATCGAAAAAATTCGATCGCTAATTTCGATCGCTAAATATATTTTTTCTTGTAGTGAAATAAGATTCGAGACCTACATAGAAAGAAAAAAGAAATATTAGATATTTATATTCTTTATATTTCATTAAATAAAATATCTTATTTATAGATACAAGTGCAACCCAAAATAACTATAATAAAAAATAATAAATTCAATTAATAACTTAATAGATAATAAATAATGATTCATAATATGTTTTAATTATCTTAATTAACATTTTAGATAACTAAATTATATATAGTTAATAATCAGAAAAAAGAAACTAAATAAATATTATGAATTTAAAGTAAAATATTAATTTAAAAAAATATATATAATAATATTTATTAAACTTGAGGGTGTTATTATTGGATTGACATTTCTTCTTCTGCATTTTTTTTTAGTTTTTATTCATTTGGAGTTCTCGAACTAGATGAATTGAATGTTTATTAAAATATTTCAATGTTTAAGTTAAATTAAAAATTAATAATAATAACAAAATATATTTATAATAATGTGTCAGGTGAATTTTTTTTTATCTGAGAATATTAATCTCACATAATAAGATACTATATTAAGGCGAATACAAATATATTTAAACATTTATTTTTATGACAATAAATACGTAAGTAAGTTATTTCTTCCTCTTTCCTATCTTTTAAAAACTGTTCTAAAAAAATCACCACATTTCTTTGATATTCTTCGAAACAATTTTCAAATAGCTATTTCAAAAACTCATTGTAATGAATAAAAAAGTAAAATAAAACCAAACAGTCCCAAAAGTTTCCGTGTGTTTTTTCTTCAGCCATCGAGGACCATTTTATTTTTTATTCATTCTATCTTTCTTGACAAGTTCAACCGTCATCTAAATTACAAAAGCTACAAAACACTTTTAAACATTCAAAAGTAATTTTAAAAATAACTTTTTTTTTTCAAACTAGGCTTAATTACAAATTATACCGTCATTTCACAAATTATACTAATTAAGGTTTTTTCTCAAAAAAATTTCCACCATTTTTTTTACTTTATCAATACATTAACTGTAACATAAAGTGTCGATGTTTGCTTAAAAATATATGATAAAATGTGAAAAAACTAAAAAATTGACTGTAAAATACAAAAAAAAAAAAAAACTCAGATGATAAATTTCAAAAAATAACGATGGTTAAGTGATGAAAGATTAAATTAAGGAAAATGTTGGATTAAACCAAACATCCAAACAACCACTATCTCTATTAATTCAATAATAATATATATTTTTATATTAATAATTTTGGTTGTTAAAATATCTACTCTTAATTTAAACCTTAAAATAAAAATATCATTTTGTCCGAGTTAAAAATACATCTAACTTCTTTTCGTGAGAGTTATTATTGAAAATATTATTTTATTATTTTTTATTTAAATTAAGTATTAAATTATTATTTTAGTTTAGATAATTATAATTAAAATATTATTAATATTTAATATTATAACTCTCCCATTTAATAATCGAGATCAAAAATAATTTATATATATATATATATATATATATATATTTTCCTTAGATAAAAATTAATAATAAATGAAAATTAATAATGTTATTAAAGATTTTTTAACAATAAAATAGTATCCAATTAAAATTCTAACACAAATAATAACTTAAACATGAAAATTAATAATATTATTATAATAAATATAAGATTAAAATATTATATTTAACACGAAACATTATTTTATTATAATTTTAATATATATATATATATATATATAATATACAAATATATAAATAAAATATGAAAAGAATCACATGAAATATATTTCATATATAAAAAATATACATGAAAAAGAATCTTAAAATTTCCGTAAATTTTTTTTTACAATAAAAATCTGTACTAATATTAGTATTAAAAATAAAAAATTTAAAGTAGTATTTATCAAATAAAAAGAGAAATAGAGAAATATCTTTTTGTTAATTTAATGCACAAAAAGGGATCACCTTATGTGGACCTTGGTTTCTGAATTCTGGAGCGCGTTTCACTGTAACTTCAAAGAAAAAGTGACAAAGTTCCTTCGTTGAGTTTGAATAAGAAAAGCTAACATGTGGTGTTGGTTTCGCTTCTGCTCAATTTTTTTGTCCTTATGCATTTTCTTGTTGATTTCTTTTCATATTCTAAAGAAATTAAAGCATGTCATGTAATGACTCGTTCAAATCAAAGTTTAAGCCTCATATTGCACGGAAATTGTCCCTCTGCCACCAATGTGAGGACCCTTTGGCCTCTCTATATATATAATCTCAAGCTTTGATTCTCTCCACCAACTTGTTCACTTTCAATCAAAACCTAATTATTACTTGGTCTTCCTTTTCTCTCTTGAGTTGATAACTGCATTTTGGGTTTCATTATGAGCTTTAGAGCTTGTAAGCGTTTTTCTTCCCCCCTTTTGCAAGCTTCAAAATTGTTTCTCTCATCTTCTTCTCCTGCCCCTCAACTTCATGTTAGACCTCTTGTTGATTCCCTCATTCCTCAAACTCAAGGTAATGTTTATACTCTTGGGTCTTATTGGATATATCTTTTACTAAAAATTAAAAAAGGAACACAATAAAATAGTTTCTCTCTAAGGTAAAAATCTTTTATTAGTTTTTATTAATTGATTTTAGTTTATAAACAAGGTTATTTTATTTTCTTAAAATATTTATATATATATAAAAAAGGCTATTCAAATGGATTGTTACCCAGTCTTTTAATAAGACCGTGGGTTGTTGAAGTTTTTAAATTTGTACCGTTTTATTTGGCGAAAAATTCAATAAATACTAATAAATAAAAAAGATAAGAAAGTTAAATTAATTGAAATTTTTCAAAGGCTTTTAAATAAATTTATATACTTGACAAAGTTAGATAAAAAAAAAAGTTTTACAAAAGTCAAATGTATAATACGAGAAAAAAAGTCAATATTATCGTATATTTATTTTTTCTATGAATAAATTTATTAAACCCTTAATTTAATTAATATTTGACACGATAAAAAAATCGTAATTATTAAATCAATTTAGCCCTTACCATTGATACAATTGGTGAGTTTCTTCTTTAGTATTATTAAATCAATCATTTGAATAACAGAAGTGGATTCATTGTTACTCATTTCTAAGCACTAATCATTATTGGATGCCCTTTTAGGGTTGAAGAAGAGTTTTGGTTTCCCTAGACCATACATGTCAACCAGCTTAGCTTCTTTGGCCAAAGAGGAGGAAGTTGCAAGTAAAGACATTGAAACACTCAGGGCCGTTGAAGACCAACATGGGGGAGTCATTATAAACATGGAAGAGTCTATGGATTCCTCACTTTTTGCCTCTTTGCTTGAAGCCTCAATATCACAATGGAGGGATCAGGTACAAAATTTAAAAATTAAAATATTAATTCATAACTTTAGAGTGATCAAACGGTCCATTTTTTTTTTCATCTCCCATTTATTTGGTCAAGAAGGGAACAGAGGATCCACCATTATCAAAACTAGTTATAAACATAATTTCTTTAGTGATTAGCGAATTGGCGGATTAAAAATTTAATTACCTGAATAATTTTTAAATTTTTATTTGATAAATTAAAAAAATTATTCTATTTATATATTAAAATACTTAATTATAATTTAGAATTTAGAATTTAAGTTTGATTAGTATTTATGATTTTAAGTTATAATATCATAATATATTTTTATATTTCAATAATATATAATAAAAAATATAATATTTTTAATTTTAATATATAAATATTTTAAAAAAATTAGATAACCATATTAAATCAAACAGAATAAATAAAAATAAATTAACAAATTAAAATTATCAATCTATAACACCAATTTAAAATGGTGTATCTACCAAATCTAACTCTTCTAACATTCTTATTTCTTATGTATTTTTCTTTTGCATCAAATTTTGTATATATATATATATATATATATATATATATATATATATTTTAATTTAAATTATATAAATAATTTTCAAATTTTTATTTATTAATTAATATTTTTATTAAAAAAATTAAAAAAAATATTATATTTATATATTAAAATATTTAATTATAATTTATAATTTAAACTTAATTAATTATTATTTATGACTTAAATTATAATATTACATTATAATAATAATACAATTAAAAACATAATATTTTTAATTATAAATTTTTTCTATTTTAATTTTAATATATAAATACTTTTTAAACAATCCATGGCGGATTAACATAACCTAAAATAGACTGAGGGTTAAAATTATCATAATTTGAAAGACACGAGGTCCACCCCTATCTCTAATGTTGAGTAGTTCCTGATTCGGATTCGTCCCTTGAACTGTTGAAAATGTGTTTTTTAAAGGGGAAGAAGGGCGTGTGGATGAAGCTGGCAAGAGAACATTCTAATCTGGTGGACTCTGCTGTTAAGGTAAAGAGAGAGTAGTTGTGGTTTGTACAAAAGAGATGGTGAAAAAGAGTTTTGGAAGCAATTAGTGATGTTGGGGTGGTTGTTTTGCAGGCTGGATTCAGATTCCACCATGCTGAACCAGATTACTTGATGCTTGTGAATTGGATTCCCGACACTCCTGATACCCTTCCTGCAAATGCTTCTCACCGCGTGGCTGTTGGTGCTTTTGTCATGAATGCCAATAGGGAGGTAATCATCATCCCCTTTTCCATCTTTTTGATCTCTGTTTCCTGGAAATTCCATCAACCTACACACTCCATCAATAAATAATCTCTGCCTTCATTTTGTGCTTATCCAACCTACTTTTTCTTACTTTTCTCATCAACACTTATTTATTTCTTATATTGTTAATTTTTATTTATTTTTTACTGTTTTTCTTCTCTTTTCTTTTTATTAATAACATAATAAAAACAATTCTATTTTTTATAAAAATTAATATTGTTTTATAAGTTAATACCGAAAGCAGTTAATTTTTTTTTCACTTTGTACAATAATATAGATATTAATGACTTAATTTCATATTTTCCTGATAAGTTTTGGCATTATGATGAAAATTTTCATTTATATTTTATCATCTAATTTTTTGAAAATTTTCTAATTTTACATATATATTAAATTTATAACAGCCATGATACGTTAAAAATAACGTGGTTTTATCTGTTTTATTTATTTTTTATAACAAGTAAAAAAAATTTAATGTATTAGTAAATTTTGTGATTTTTTTAAAAATGCATAGAAAAGAACTTGAAATAAAACTGTACAATTAAAGCTATATTTATAGTAACGAAATTGGAGTTGATTTTGATTTTTGAGTAAACTACTTAGATACTAAACTTAAAATAATTATTATAAAATTTAACCATTTTATTTTTATAGCTATTTATGATTAGAATAGCCGTTGGCTTAACCTTTTTCTCCTCCCTAATTATAATAAATTTTAATTAAATTTATAAAATTGTTTGACAGGTGCTTGTGGTTCAGGAGAGCAATGGTAGGTTTAGTGGCACAGGATTCTGGAAGTTGCCTACCGGAGGCGTCGATGAAGTATGTTAAAATGTTATTGTTGATTTTAAAATAGTCCGAAATTTAAATTTTATTTTTGAAATAAATCTGATTTTGATCTCTGGAATATAATTTTAATTTCGAATCACTAGCTTTCAGAACTAAAACAATTTTAAAAAAAAATTATAATTTTCAAATTTGATGTATAGTGATAAAATTCATATTCATTTAGTTGTAACTATTTTTTTTCTTACTATTTGTTATTTTATTCAATCAAATATCTAAAATTTTAAAAGTATAAGGATATTATTACCATCCCTTTATAGTAATAGATTTTTAATAAACAAATATTGACAATGTATAGGTTTAACAATGTTTTTATTTCTGAAATTTGAGATAATTTTTGTAGTTTCTCCAACTTAAAAAAAATAATTAGATTTAGTAAAATATAATTTTAGTTCCTAAATACTAAATTTAAAATATTATTAAAAGTTTGAAAAAAATTATTTTTATCTCTCAAATTTAATAATTAAAGATCAAAATTATGTTTTCTTAATTTAAAAAAAATTAAATTATTTTTTAAGATAATAAAACCAAAACCATCATAAATTTTTAAGATTAACTAAAAATATAATTAAAAACCTAATTAATAAATATATTAGAGTGAATTCCTACAAACTTAAGACAACATTCTTTTACTTTTTTTTTTTTTTAATTTGGAAATGCTACATCTGATTTACCATGTGAAAAAAATAGTTAAATTATTTTTTATGAATCTGCATTCCATTTGCAGGGTGAAGATATTTGCACTGCAGCAGTAAGAGAAGTAAAAGAAGAAACAGGGGTAAGGAAAAAAATTATCTCATTTACATAAACCACTCAATATTTTTTAAATCACCTCCATTTTCTAACCTTTATGCTTCTATTCCTCTTTCAGATTGAAACAGAGTTTGTGGAGGTCATAGCATTCAAGTAAGTGATGAAATAATAGTATGTTATGCTACACAAGGATCATTAGAGTGTTACACTACAATTATAGTTCTTCAAATTTTCAAAAGTTTCTTACAATTTTAAACCCTCTTTCAATTATAAAAATATTTTTTAAATAAAGTGAAAAATTAAATCCGAAAATTCTAAAGAATAATATTTCGGATTATGATACGTTTCTTTCTGTTATCAGGGAAAGACATAAAGCTTTCTTCGGCAAATCAGAGTTGTTCTTTGTTTGCATGTTGCAACCTCGTTCCTTTAAGATTGAGAGACAAGTTTCAGAGATTGAAGCAGCACAGGTATCAGCTATTGATCTAAATAGCATTCAATTCATATAGAACAAGATTAAGGGACTTGCACTTTTACAAATAATAATAAAATTCTTGTTTTTTATTTTAAATTTTTGAATAAAAATTATACAAAAATACAATTTTGTTGTTTTCCCTAATTTTTATACAATTTCAATCTTTGGATTTTAGAAAATCCATAATTTTAGTATAATCCTTAATTTTTATTTAAAATATGAGTACTAGAAATAAAAAAATATGAATAAATAAAAACTAATATAAACTAAAATTTTAAAAAAAATTTAAACAAATATTTTCTTAAATTTGACAAACCGTAGGCTATCTACAAACAGAATTAAAACAGGGTGCCCATAAGATACTGACAAATTTGTTAACAACAACTTTATATAAAATATGTTTGTTCCTATTTTAAAAAATGACTATTGAAAAGTAGAAGGAGGAAAAAAAAAGGTTTTTCTTTTTAATAAAAACTGCAAGTTGTTTAGAAATGGAAGCAATTTTTGACTTCTACTTTTTTCTTTTTTTAATGAATTTATCTAAAAATGTAAAAATTGTTAATAAATGATTATCTTTTTATTTAAAAAAAAAAACTACTTTTTCCCTAAAAGCTAAATTAAACAATCATACCTATATATCAATCACTCTAATGCGATATTTTCTTGCTTTTGTTTTCAGTGGATGGCGATTGAGGATTACATGGCCCAGCCATTTGTGAGAGACAACGAACTATTTGACTTTCTCACCAAAATTGGGTTATCAAAATTTGGTGGTAAATACACTGGTTTTTCAACCATTCTATCTTCAACTTCCTCTTCCAAGAAATCCTACCTTTACTTTAACAACAAGGATGCTTCTCCCATGATAGCCTCCAAATTCTAACAAACTTTGTTGCAAATTTCAAGCTTCACATTCATTGGTCCCGTCATCATCAACATCATTTGGTACTCATTTCATTTAATTATTGAGTGTTATATGTACATAAAACTATATTTTCCACAAGTTTGAAATCATACCATTTTTCTCCTCCAAAACGTGTAAGGAGATTGGAAGGGAATAACTAATGTTGTCAATTACAATTTGTTCATTTCATTCATAGGAGTAGGACTACACAGGTTCTTTATTAAATAAAAAAGTCAAGTGTAGGTGTATTGTAATGAGAATAATCTCATAGTCTACCATTATTATGATGAAAGAAATAAGAATTTTTTTTTCTTTATGTATATAATATTTTTAAAACTGGATTAGTCATACATTCAGGATTTAAAGGTTTAATTAGGTTTAATTAACTGGATTTAATAAAATAATATTTTATAATATAATAAATTTATTAATAATAATATTTTAAAAAATATATATAAAAATTATTGTCATAGTTATCGGAAATTATAATGAAAATTATAAAAATAAAATATATTAAAGAGTGAAAAATGATAATTGATAAAATATAATAAAATAACTATTATGTGATATTTTTTATAAAAAAATTATATTAAAAAGTTTGATCCTAATTTTTTTTTTACCAAAACCGGTTTGACAAAAAAACCTAGCTGATTTTACCAGTTTTGTTTCAGGTTTTTCAGTTTTGTCCCAGATTAATTAAAGTAGGATTATTTTGAAGCAACAAATCGATTTTTATTCTAATTCTTGATTGAATTGATTGAAACGGCCTGATTCGATTTTCAAAATAGTGGATGTATACGATCATATTTAATATAAAGACAAGTAAAAAAATTGTCTTATAGATTACAATGTTTTTTAAAGTACAACTTTATTATTTTTTAATATTTATTTAAAAAATATAAAAAAATATATTTATTCTATGAAATAAAATATGTATAACTTATTTATAAAATATGAAGTTATGTCTTATTAAGTTATTAGGAAATTAAAATATTTTATAATTATACCAATCTTAATAAAATAAGATATGATCTATACAAATAAAATAAAAGGAAAATAAATCTCAATACTCCCCTCAAGTTGATATATATAAATCTCATATATTTTACTTGACAAGATATTTTGAAATATTTTATTTGAGACTATGGTTAAAATATAAACTAACTAGTCTTTTGAATGAATCATATGTAATTCTACAATTTTTTCTTCTAACTTTTCCTTAATAAAAAATTTATCCACCTTAACATGTTGTACTAGATTATAGGTAATATCACAAATAACTTTATCATCATAATTTGGTATAATAGGTTGCATAGATGAGAATCCAAGATCCTGTAAAGAGGAATCTTAACCATAAATTTTCACAAATTCTAAGTACCAAACTTCTAAACTTAGCTTGTACACTTAAGCGAGATATTATATTTTATATTTTGCTTATCCGTATAACAAAATTACAACCAATGATAAACTAGATTAATGTTGATTGTCTATCTTCCAATGATCCAACCCAATAAGCATCAATATATGCATATATTTGTTAATAATTTGTATGTTTGGTGAATAATAATCTTTTTCTAGGTGTTGACTTTAAATATTTTAAAATGGATTTGTGAGAATTATGAAGGCTATAACTTTGATATTTATAGGAGGTTGAATTTGTTAAGATCACAATCACCAAATTTAATATGGTTAAATCACACCCAGTCTATTTAATTTGGTCAAGTCATAACTACCATATGGTTAACCCAATTTAATAATAATGCATAAACATACCTATGATTTGACGCGTTCATGGTTAACCCAGTTTAATAATAATGCATAAACCTAATTTAATATGGTCAAGGCATACCCACAAAGATGCCCTTTGACGCGTTCATGGTTCGAGATGATGACATAACACAGGGTGTCCCAGGAGTCACATGCCTTGTTGTGCATTTGGACCAAGTGACTTAACAAGTCACTAATAATGTTTCAATCAAGATGTCCTTTGATGCACTTGTGGTTTGAGGCAATGATGTGGTTCATACATGTCTCAGGAGTCACATGCACTTAGTTGTGCACGCAGACCATGTGACTTGATAAGAAACTAATGATGTGTCAATCAAGATGCCCTCTAACACACCTATGATTTAAGGCGATGGTGTGACACATGCATGTATCAGGAGTCACATGAACTCTACTGTGGACACAAATCAAGTGACTTGACAAGTCATTAATGACTTGCCAATCAAGATGCCCTCTAATGCACCCGTGGTTCGAGACGATAACTTTGCACGCTCATATCTTGGGAGTTACATGTACTCTATTGTGCACGTGGACCGAGTGACTTGACAAACCACTGATAACTGAAAACAATGAGGGGGAGATTGATGGAAATGTTCCTGCATTCCCAAGAGATGATTTTGATGATGATTCAAGTCAACTACATTCAAGTGAACACCATTCAAGATGAATTTAAGGACAAGCTGAATTTATGACGTAGGTGATAAAGATGATGATTCAAGCAAGCCCAAGATGATTCCTGAAGACTAGATAGAGTCTTAGAATACTGGATATGGAGGTACAAGTTGATGAAGTAATATTATGCATAAGCCTCCAAAACACAAGTGTGATAAAATTCATAACATGATATTTTTCACTGTCATAATTAATTATGATGCACCAGAAATGGAAAAAATGATTTTCTCTATCATAATTAATTATACTGGTAATATAATCAATTATGGCAATTCAAATTTGAAAAATATATCCGTTTTAAAGAATAAATGTTTTTGAATACATCCTGATTTTCTCTATGATATTATTAATGTCCAACGACCATTTTCTGATGCTATTTTTCTATTTAATTAAGTTTTGATGAAAAATAAAGAATACACAATTATAGAATTCAAAAATACAATTTACATTCAATCAGTTTTGAGAAAAGAATTCTGAGCAAGGCAACAGAGATATTTTACACCTTTTGAGAAAATCCTCTTCTCTACTGTCTTCTGTGCTTTCATTGTTAATCACACTTGTTCTTGGAGATTGACATTCTACAGGCTTCTACAATTTGTTATCTCCATTACCCAGGTGTGTCTATTCTTGTTTTTATTACCATCATCCTTTTTGCATTGGTGGAAAAGGAGGTGTTTTTCATCCCTAGTGTGATTCTAGGGAGGGGTTCATCCTTAGTGGGATTCTAAGGAGGTGTTTTTCATCCTTTGATTTGTTCAGAGGAGGTGTTCATCCCTAGTGGGATTCTAGGGAGGTGTTCATCCTTAGTGGGTTTCTAAGGAGGTGATTGTCTTTTTAATTAGTTTACTTTTTACTGGTTCTTGTGCTGAGTTGATTGTAATTTGTAAACTGAATTTGAAAGATAGTGAATGGGGAGTCACTCTTGTGTTAAGAGTTGACTGGGAACTGGATGTAGGGTTGGCTATACCCAAACCAGTATAAATCTTTGTGTGCTCTTCTCTTTCCCTTATCTCTTTCTCTTTTCATGATTATATTATTGCTTCCGCTTTAACAAATTATTGACTCACAAATAAATTTTTAATTTGACATCTATTTTAATTTGTGCATCTATTCACCCCCCTCTAGATGCCATTTGTCTAACAATAACATTTTGTCAAGATACCATCTGATACACCTGTGGTTGAAGATGATAACGTGACACATGCATATTCTAGGAGTTACATGCATTCTACTTTGCAATCAGACCAAGTGACTTGACATGTCTTGACAACTTTTTAGTCATGATGTCCTCTAACACACTTGAGATTCAAGACAATAACCTTGCACACGCGTATCCCAGGAATCAAATGCACTTTATTGTGCACATGAATCGAGTGACTTGACAAGTCACTAACAATGTATCCATTAAGGTACCCTCTAATACACCCTATGTTCAAGGCAATTATATGGCACACACGTGTCCCGAGAGTCACATACAATTTACTATGTTTGCATATTGAGTGAGTTGACAAGTCGCTAACAATGTGTCAGTCAAGATACCCTCTAATACACCCTCTATTCAAGGTGATTATGTGGCACACACATGTTCTAAGAGTCACATGCACAACACATATCAAGTAACTTGACAAGTCACTGACGACTTATCATTTAAGATCCCCTCTAATGCATCCTTTATCCGAGGCAATGACGTGGCACAAACTAAACTAATTTTATTTCCTATAAAATATATGAAACATTGAGCATATGTCATCAACGAGTTTAGTAAGATAGAAGTAAGGATCATTGTAGAGAAAATGATGCTTATTGAAGAACTTAATCATCGTAATTCATTATGGGCACTCATTACTTATCAAGATCCTTTTTCTTTGTGTATGATCCCTTTTTAGTTTTCATTCATTCATTTGAAAAATTGAATTTAATATTCTACAACATTTATTGATTGGAGGCCAATAACCAATATCTTTAACGTGAAACCTAGGTTGGTTGATGTTACTATTTAAGAGTCAAAGCTAATAACAAGTGATGATGTTTGAGAGATCATACTATGACATTTGCAATTTCCTGAAGATATGAGTATGAAATTGATGTCCATATTGTAACATCTCAATTAATGTAAAAGATAAACATTATCTTATCTTAAAAAATAAACATTATCAAAATCATAATTACTGCATTTATGATTACATAATTAAGTAATTAAATAAATAAAAAGAAAAAAAATTTTGCTATAAAAAGGGTAGGGGGGAAGGATCCGTAAGGAGAAAGAGAAAGGGAAGAGAGAAAGAAGGAGAGAGAGAAAGAAGGAGAGAGAGAAGGAGAGAGAAAGAGAAATAGAAAGAGAAAGAGAAAGAAAGAGAGAGGGAGGAAGAGAAAGAGAAATTGTCTCTGCAAAAATTTTGGTACCTCATCCGCAACTCTTAAGGTACGGGAGGAAACATTCATCAATATTCTTTTGTTTTCACTTATTGTGTAGAGTGAGGTGTCCCTAACCTTATTCTATTTATTTTATTTTATCTTCAGTC